AGCCGGTTTCCGAATTCGGGTTTACAAGTGAAGTGGAGGTTCTCGTGTGTGTTATTGAAAGCTTTCAGCAACTTTTCCGCTTGCTTTTCGAATTTGCAAAGTGCGAATTTGTCGTCAACATACCGTACGTGCATTTCGGTTCTAAGGATGTGCGTTGCAACTGGGCCATGTTCCAATTTCGCCATGAAAATATCAGCCAGCAGCGGCCCCAAAGGAGATTCCGTGGTCACTCCGTCAATCTGACGGTACATTTCCCCATCGAAGGTAAACTGAATATTTAACGTGCAACAATGGGGTAATTGCATGTGCGTTTTCGCAAAATTGCCATTTAACCTGCAGTCACGGGTGGAACGACGATGTGGATATTATAAAGCGGTGACAATAGATCCATACCACGCAGCTGGCAAATGCACATCCCAGAGCACCCTATATGTGACAACCTTACCCAAAATGCCAACGTTGTTGCTACTCCATTATAATCGAGAATCAACTGGGTGGCTTAGTAACCATATCGATGGGTTGTACCTCACAAGGAAATTGTTAGTTCTAGTTATTAAACCTCACCTCTGTATGTTCATATCTTGCTTGAAAGTGGAGATTGAGACACCTTGCAAACCGAGTACCACTCGGTAATGGCAATTCTTTGCCGCAATTGTCTCGTAAGCAGTAGGTCCTGATTTAGAATCCAGTGGGGTGTGTGCTAACGTGGAGTCCTAGTTGACAAAAACAACCATCCAGTGCTTTAGTCAATATCTGGCAATGAAAACTCATCCTAAAAACACAAACCATCCCGCTTCTAATCATGACCATCATTGTAATTTAATTCGGTGACTGCCGAATATTCCACTACACATCCAGGAGAATGCAAATATATACTATATTGTATACCGTTATTTGCTTTTAGACTACCGGTTGTTCCAACCGGTTTCAAGTAACGTCAAGTCAAGCATGTGTTTTAGGCATCAAACTATGGTGTATCTTCATGTGTAAAGCACCAGCATGGGTCAGGGATAGCTAATGAAATGAAATATAGCAATGGAATATGTATATAACGGCAGTTCTTAAAACACGTTGACAGCGCCAGGGTCGCTGAGCAATTTCGAAAGCCAATTATTGTTTGACACAATTTTGATCAATTCGTAATGGTCCGCTGTCGTCCCCCATGACTCAGTGGCATAAGCTGCTGCCTAGTTGGCGTTAGGCTCTAGTGGTCATGGGTTCGATCCCCAGTAGGGGACCGAGGGATGCGCACCATTGACGAGCCCCAATAGAGCGAAACGCGCGTCTGGTGCTTCTCCTTATTGGTAGCTTACCTATGTGGCTTGGAATCTAATTACAGTGAACCAACTCTAATCATACCCAAATCTGTATAATCATTACAAGTCAAAAATCTAAGCCCTACCAGTATTCAAATTTGCTGTGTGGATTCACGGCGCTGGCAAAGGACGACCTGACCGTGACTGCCAACCACTGTCTTCTGCACGGGCAATAACCTGCACGGCAGTGGAGAATGGGTAGGGCTATATCGCAGTTATGTTTCAATTCGTAATGGTCGGCTGTCTTCTCCCAGGGCCTGGTGGCATAAGCTGCTATCTGGTTGGCGTTAGCCTCTTGTGGTCATAGGCTCGATCCCCAGTAGGGGACCGATGAATGCGCACCACTGACGAGCCCCAATAAGGCAAAACGCGCGTCTGGTCTTTTCCGGAGTGTTAGCTTACCTATGCGGCTTGGAAGCTAATTGTGATGAACCAACTCGGAACAATTTTGATCAGTCGAAAAACAGGGCAAATAAGGGACAACTAGCGAACCATAAGCCTGTATGCGAACATATACGATTTTATGTAGCTATACGGTCGATCTTCACCCTTTGGATGAGGTAACTAGCATCCATCAGGATCTTGCGTGCAAGCTTCTCAGGAATTAACAAGCCTTTACAGTATGATTAACAAGTCCCGCTCGTGTAATCTGATTACATTTAACAAGGCATTTT